GTCACAAATGGCTGCTGTTTCCCCCACCTTCGTCCAGGAACCTGGGGACAGCGTGTGACAACTCCTCCACAGCACAGGACATGTCTTTCAGCCACCAGGGAAATGACAGCCACGGATGAGCCCAGAACCACCTCAGATCCCGCTGCTTGCTGTCCAGTTCCGACCACTGCTCCCCCCAGCATGCTGCTGTCACACTGGGGCACGCCGTCGCGGACTGTGGGCGCGGCTTCTGGGCTGGCAGGACCAGGCGCTCTCGCTGCAGCCCTAGGTCCTCCCTTCCTGTCCTCTGCTCTCCAGTCATCCCGCTCTTATTGCGACACGAGACATTCCAGGGGGCAGTCGCTCATCCATTCAGCAAACACTGACCACCACCCACCACGCGCCAGGCACTGTTCTGAGCGAGAGCAAGCAGACAAAGCTCACCGCCCTTGTCAACCGGAATTTGCATTCCAGTGGGGTAGAGAGGCCATGCAAAATGCGTAACAAGTAAAGCAAAGAAGTAAACGATGCGGCACGGCCTACGGAGAACACGAGAACACGGAGCAGGTTCAGGAGGGTGGGGCAAGCGGTGGTGAGGGCCGGGGGCTGAGGCAAGGTTTCACCTTGCAGCGAGCTGAGTAGCTGTAGCAAGGTGTTGAGCAGAGGAGGACAGCACTCGTCTCATTGAAAAGGAGCTGGGGTGGGCAGTGAGCCTATCCATCATGATGTCTGCATCCCATGTTGGAGGGTCTGGGTTCAAATCCCAGTTCTGGCTCCTGACTCTAGCTTCCTGCTGATACTGATTTTGGGGGCAACCGTGACGGCTCAGGTGCTTGGATCCCTGCCACCCACGTGGGAGACTTGGGCTGAGTTCACAGCTGCCAGCTGTGGCCCTGTCCAGTCTTGGTCATTGCAGGCATTTGGGGAGTGAAGATTGGAGAGCACTCTCTCTGTCTGTCTGTCTGTTTCTCTCTCTCCCCCCCTCTCAAATAATTAAGTAGTTTTTTTTTTTTTTAAAGGCTTCCTCCCTTGGCTGTACTGAGAAGGAGTGAGAAAGGTGAACAAAGGAGACCAACAAGGAGCTCATTGCTGCCATCTGGGAAAGCGAGGATGGAGGGGGACTCTTGGCGGGAGTGTGGTGAGGAGTGATCAGATTACGGATGTATTTTATTTATTTTTTTTAAAGATTTATTTATTTATTTATTTGAAAAGCAGAGTTACAGAGAGGGAGGGAGGGAGAGAGAGAGAGAGAGACTTTTATCTGCTAGTTCACTCCCCAAATGGCTACAATGGCCGGAGCTGCACCGATCCAAAGCCAGGAGCCTCTCCCAGGTCTCTCACGTGGGTGCAGGAGCCCAAGGACTTCCCAGGCACATTAGCAGAGAGCTGGATTGGAAATGGAGCATCCAGGACTCAATCCTGCGCCCCTATAGGATGCTGGCACTGCAGGCGGCGGCTTTACCCCCTACGCCGCAGCGCTGGCCCCATGGATGTATTTTAAAGTGGAGTTATTTCCCGAGAGAAGGGAGGTGGGGAGGCAGAGGAGAGGCGTCAAAGGTGCCTCTTGGGTTTTCGACCCTGATAACCGGGGGAAGCAGGACAGTCAGTGGGGTGCAGATCTGGGGGAGGATGGGCAGAGGGTCAGATTTTGCAATGTTGACCTTGAGACATTACTGGGTGTCCATGTGGAGCTACGGAGCAGGCAGTTGGAAATGAGATTCAAGCGAGAGGAGAGAGAAATGGAAGCTTCCTGGGGCTACTTTTCAATGGTACCTAAAGCCGCAGGACTGGACAGGAACATCACGGCGAGGTGCAGGGAGGTTGAGCCAGGCTGCCGGGTTCAAATCCCAGCCAGGCTCTTAGCGGCTGTGCGACTCCGGGCAGGTTAATGAGTGTGTGCGTGTGAGTGAGTTTCCTCATTTGCAAAGTGAACATAATTATAGGGCAGGGTATGTCTCATCCAGTTGTTGCAAAATGAAAGTGAGGCAATCAGACCGCGTCTGGCTTGCAGTAACCTCTCAATATGTGTTAGCTGTCTGTTCATTCGCAACAGAGGTAATTTGCTTCATGATACCTGAGTGTCACTTAATTAAAAAATGTTTGAAAATGATCTCAATCTTAGGGGAAATTTGCAAGCATGGGACTAAGAACTCTGTAGAAACACCTGTGAGTGAATTGCGCGCGTGTTGCCTTTTACGTCCCTTGTCGTCGCCTGAATGTTAGCAGCCTCTCAAATTGGAGAGTGAAAGCCGGCAGCCACGGTGGTGGTGGTCAGGCAGTGTCTTAGGGAGGTGACTGAGTAACTAATAGCTTCATAAATGGCATTAATGCCTTCTAGGAAAGAGGCTTGTTGGGCTTTCCTGGCTGCCTGCTGCCATGGAGGATGCGGGAGCAGGCGCCGCGGTGGGAGCGGAGAGCAACCTCTCGCCAGTGAACCGGCCACGGCCTCAACTACCAGTTTCCAGCAAAACCCCCAGACCGGGAGAGCCAAGTTTCTGCTGCTTCCAGATGACCTATCTAAGGTACGTGTTTTTCATAAAGCAGCCCAAATGGTCTGAATGTTTTATTTTTGAAATGTATCTATTTAGTTGATTGGAAAGGCAGAGAGAGAGAGAGAGAGAGAGCGAGCTTCCATTGACCGGTTCAGTCCCCAAAGGTCTGTAACAGCCAGGACTGGGCCCGGCCAACGCCGGAAGCCAGGAGCTCCATCCCGACTGCCTGTGTGGGTGGCCCTGGAACCCTCATCACCTGCTGCCTCCCAGGATGTGAATTAGCAGGAAGCTGGAGTTGGAAGCAGAGCTGGGGCTGGAACCCAGGCACCCGATATGGGACGAGGGTGTCCTGAGTGGCAGCCTCACCCTTACGCCAAACCCGGCCCCGGGGCCAAACATTTCAGTGCGTGTTTCCGCAGCCAGGGCGATCCTGCCGCACGGCCACAGCATCACCCAACCAGGTGTGCGCCACCAGTGGCCTGGCCGCAGCCTCCCTCGGGCTTTGCCACTGCCCCACACGCGCATCTTACAGAGGACCCCGTTGTGCTTCACTGCCGGGTCTCGTAGGTGCCTGTAACCCGGCACAGTTTCTCCTCCCTTTACGACACTGGGACTTCGCAGAGGGCAGGCCAGTTCTTGTGTAGAATGTCCCTCATCTGGATTGTTCTGGCACCTCCTCCTGATCAGAGCCAGGTTCTCTCTCTCTGTAACTCTTTCAAAGAAATAAATCCATAAATAAAATTTTAAAAAAATGGGCTCTGCGTGGGAGACCTGGAAGAAGCTCCTGCCTCCTGCCTCCTGGCTTCAGATTGGCCCAGCTCTGGCCGCTGTGGTCTTTTGGGGGAGTGAACCAGCAGATGGAAGTCTCTCTCTCTCTCTCTCTCTCTCTCTCTCTCTCCCCCTAAGTAAAATAAATCTTTTTTTTTTCAAATGGGCTCTTGCAGAACATGTCCCTTCCTATCACTCCCCCCAGCTGCCCCCACCCTGTCACCTGCTGGGATTAGACAACACTCCCCGCCTCTGATGTATGTGAGAGTGGAGGGGACAGGGAGGGAGCCAACACCGGGCCTCCGGGAAGAGCCCTACGACCTGCTCCCCCAAACCCAGGTCAAATTCGGAGGGACAGGAGAGTCAGGAGGACATCCTTCCTGCTGACCCAGCTCTCGGCGTCCCAGCCTGGCCCGAGAACGGAAGAGCTGAGCTGGGAATGGCTCAGGTCTCCTTGCAGAGTTTCTTGGGGCGCCCGAGCATCGATGCTAGGGGCACTTGTGGGGACCCACGGTCAAGGGCTGCCCACGGCGCTGGGCCTCTCTTGTCTGTATGCACTGATGTCATGGAGGAGATTAAGTCCACAGAGAGGGAGCTTAAAACAGAAATCAGATTATGGGAAACAATCTATGCGTAGGGCTGTTTGCCTCCCTGGAATGCATGGTGGCCTGAGCGTTGCATTGTTTTATTTTGATCCCATCACCTAATCTGTTCAGGGTACAAAAGCCTTTCCCGCTCAGGTCGGCCGTGCCCCAAGAGGCAGTGCCTCTCAGGGGCTGTGCGGCCATCGCGGCGTGATTTCCGCCTCTCCAGTCTCCAGTAAGGCCACTGAGAACCACGAGGGGGCGCCAGGAGGACGGGACAGGGAATCAGCGGGACGTTCCCAGCCCAGGCAGGTAGCAGATTCCCAGTAATTCAGACCGCATTTAAAACTGATTTGTTGATATGCAAATGAAAAGTGTTCTACAATCCCGCCATCCTGACAGACACGCGCATTTCATCTTTCTGTTCCCTTTCCGCGCCAGACCTGCGTGGGAACCGGTGCTGTACCGCAGCCCGGAGCTGCCTTGTGGCTCGGGGCGGCCTGGCGGGTGGAAAGGGAGGATCTGGATGCTTTAGTTCCGCTGCCTGGCTGCCCTGGCAACCAGCAGCATAGCCCCAGTGGCTCCAGAAATATCTCTCCTGCTCCGACCCCGCTCCTGAACCCCGGACGTCTGTCCCTCTGCCTGCTCCACTTGGCCCCTGGATGACGAACACGCGCTATATTTAACGCTCAGAACTGAGCTGTGAATTCCCACCACCGACTGCTTCTTCCACCTGTTCCACCTGTTTCCCTCTCTTCTCCATCGCGCAATCCATCCTCCCTGTGACCGTTCCGGTTCAGTCCCCACGCGAGACTCCGTGGCCATGTTCAGGGTTTCCCCTACCCTCCCTCCTTTTAAGTCCTCGTCACCACACATCCTCACCCGCACCTCTGTGGCTCCCGTCCCGCCTCCTGGCTCAGAGCCTGGCTTTCCTCTCATCTCCCTACTGCACAGGAGTCAGGGTGATTTCTAAACATCCGAGCATCTTGCGATTTGTGCTGGACCAAGTCTCTAACGACTTCCGTTCCAGGATCTCTCCGGCTCCCGCCCATCACGCCAGCGCTGCCCTTTGTCCCACTGCTCAGACCCAGCCCCACTGTCCCCTTCCTGCCCTGGAATCCCCCAGGCCCCGTCCCACCGTAGGGCTTGGTACAATACGTTCCTCTAACAAGCAAGCATTTATTCGAGCTCTGTACAAGCCTGACACCAACTTCAGTGTCCCGCGTCCCGCCGTTCAGAAAGGCTTTCTCTGCCCTTCTTCCTAGCTGGCAGCCGCGTGGTTCCCGACCCCCGTGGAGAGCTGGGTCCTCGCAGTGCCATTATTTTGCGTATACTTTTATTTTCTTCGGAGCACGCATCACATTTTTAATTCTTCCTCCTCCCTCGAGCCCTCACTGCCTCCCTTTCTTCTCCCTGAAGGTAGGGACCGCTGTGACCAGTGCTCACTCACGTTTGCTCCGTGTCTATGTGGAGTATGCACTCAGCCATCTGTGCGCAGTCAATGAAGGCGTCACCTTTGCAACGAGCAAATATTTATCTGGAAGTGCTGGGCTGGGCTTACCTGGGACAGGGGCTCCTTCCTCAAAGGGCTAAAGCGCATTCATGCCCACGCCAGGGCTCCTCTGCTTGCTTCGCTTTTCTCTGGGCGCCTGGGCCACTCTCCATGTCCTGCTTGAGGACTGATTTGGGGGGATGGAGAGCAAATGGCTTAAAACCGCCCATCCACCCTCTCTTGCCCTGCACACCCACGTCAAAGCTCTTACAGTGTTGCTCTCTTGTCTACTTGTTTGTCTACAGCACAATAAACATTCCTGCAGGCCCCCACCTGACACAGAAGCTACAACTCTGAAAAAAAACTTCCGTCTACCTGTAGGCACCCAACCTTCTCGTCCTGCTGCCTTCCCACGTCCCAGGTAACAGCCATTTGGAATCTTGTGTTCATTGTTCCTTTGAAAAAATATGAGTTTTTAGCATAGTCCTAAACACAGTATACTGTTTAGCTTTACAGAAAGAATATCATTCTGGAACACATCTCCTGGGGCTTCTACCCTCCCACCAAGATTTTATTGCTAAGATTTGTCTGAATTACCATGCATGTGGTTCATTCATTTTTTAACCTCCTTAGAACATTCCCTTCTGTGATTGTAGTAAATGGATCATCTATCATTCTATATATGCATATATGGGTCATTTTCAGGCTTTGCTAATTTTAAACAATTTAATTTTAAATTTAAAACAATTTTGCTAATTTTAAAATGCTACCAGGGATGTATGCATTTGTACATATCCCCTGGTGCGCATGTGCGAGAATTTCTTTGGGGCATAAGCCCAGAGCGGGAATGGCAGGTTGTAGGTGTGTGAATGTTCAACGCAACAAAGGGCTGAGCTGTGTTCCAGAGTCATGAGGTCCCTTCCGTGCCCACAGCGATGCAGGACAGGACCGGCTGCTCCTGGGACTTTTCCAGGGAACAAAGGGCCGCTCAGCGTGCTTTCCCCTTGCTTTTCCTGATGTCTCCGATTCCTGACGGGTTTGGGTGTCTCTTCTTGTTTACTGGCCGTATTTTCTTTAACTTCATCTCATTTGTGGGGCTGACAGACAAAAATGAAAAGCCCTCCATTGTTCATGATTAGAAGAATCAATATTATCAAAATGCCCATACTACCCGAATTGATGTATAGATTCAATGCAATCATCATCCAAATACCAATGACATTCTTCACAGAATTAGAAAAAGCGATCCTACAATTCATATGAAAACATGAAATATTTAGGATTGTCAAAGCAATCTTGAATGATTAAAAACAAAGCTGGAGGTATCACAATACCAGATTTCCAGGCATACTACAGGGCTATTCTAACCAAAACAGCATGGTACAGCCATAAAAATAGACATGTGGACGAATGGAACAGAATAGAAACACCAGAAATAAATCCATGCATCTAAATCAACTTATCCTTGACAAAGGTGCTAAAACACTCCATGGAGAAAGGACAATCTTTTCAACAAATGATGTTGAGAAGACTGGATTTCCACATGCAGAAGTTTGAAGCACAACCCCTACCTTACACCCTATACAAAAACCAACTCAAAATGGATCAAAGCTCCAAATGTAAGACCTGAAACTGCAAAACTATTAGAGGAAAACTTAGGGGAAACACTCCAAGACATTGGCAAAGACCTCACAAGCACAGGTGATAAAAGCAAAAATAGACAGGTGGAATTATACCAAACTAAGAAGTTCCTGCACAGCAAAGGAAACCATCAACGGGGGGAAGAGACGACCAACAGAATGGGAAAAATATTGGCAAACTGTGCATCTGATACAGGATTAATATCCATACATACAGGAGCTCTTGACATTCAAGGGCAACAGACAAGCAACCCAGTTAATAAATGGGCAAAGGATCTGAACAGATATTTTTCAAAGGAAGAAATACAAATGGCCTCTAAACACATGAAAAAATGCTCAGGATCTGTAGCCATCAGGAAAATACAAACAAAACCCACCACGAGGCATCATCTCACTGTAGTTAAAATGGCTATTATCAAAAAGTGAAAACAGAAGAGATTCTGGTGCGCATGCGGACAGAAGTGGATCCTAACACACTGCTGGTGGGAATGCAGACTAGCGCAGCCGTCGTGGAAAAACGCTATGGCGAGTCCTCAAAACCCTAAAAACAGATCAGCCGTACCCTCCAGCTGTCCTACTTCTGGGAATATACTGCAGAGGAAACGAAGCCAGCACAGGAAAGAGACCCCTGCACACCCATGTTTATTGCAGCCCAGTTCACAAGGGCAGCTGTGGAATCGACCTAGATGTCCATCAGGTGATGACTGGATAAAGACAATGTGGGTTGTGTATGTGATGGTGTATGACTCAGCCATAAAAAGAAAGAACTCCTACATTTGCAACAGAGTGGTGAGCTGGAGCTCATTATGCTAAGTGCAATAAGCCAGACACGGGCAGACAAGTACCAAGTGCTTTCTCTCCTATGAGGAAGTTAATAGCCACACTGAATCAGAATGTGTGGCTGCCGTATTATTTGGTGGACAGATATTCATGAATCACACCCCAAACACGATGACGTGGTCCTCTCGCCTCGCTTTACGGGCTTTGCCACAGATCCCAGGTTGTGCAATGTTAATGCCTCCACCCCTGCTTTCAGGACACACAGTATGTTTGCACGTGTCATACTTGCACATGAACCAAATATGGCAAGATTACAAATCCATGTGTGCTCGTTGAACTCTTCTTTATATTTTTCTGTGCCATCTGCAACACTTTATAATAAAAATAAAGGCAAAAGGCGCCAGGGAGCTGCACAGGTTCAATGGCAGAACTTCGGTGGGCACAATGGTTTTTCCTGGGGAGCCAGCAAGGCGTCCAGGTGGGAACCTGCCTTGCCTCTGCTGGGTGTCATGGTCAAGCTTGTGGACTCAGAGGCATGAGTCTTGACAGAAACTTCCTTCCCAGGGAGGGCGTTCGAGCCCGCCTCTCACTCTGACCTTTCCGATTCATGCTGTCACCTCCCATGGGGGCTGTGGGAGACCGGGAGGGCCAGCGGTGGAGCTACACGCATCGCGGCAGGTCCTCCTGACCGGGACAGGAGGGCAGGGCCTTCGTCTCTGGGGAGGGCTGCACCCCTAGGCCTGTGCCCTGCAGAGGAAGCAGGAAGCTGGCCCAGAGCCCTTGACCCCTCCAACACCACCTGGAGGGGTTGTCTTCGCATCCGCTCCCTCCCTCTCTCCGACTCCTGCCCAGACCAAGGGAGCCTGTATCTCTGGGCATCCTCAGGCGGAAGATGTGAGAGGCAGAGTGGAGGGCTGAAGGGACTGGGGGGGGGCAGCTCTGAGACCCTCGGGATTCATCACCTTTCAAGGTCGAGGGGAACTGGGAGCGCGCCTGGAAGCTCAACCCCTACCTGATTCCGCCCTTACCTGGAAGGGTGGCTCTTCCTGTAGGCATAGACAGCAGAGAGTGAAATCAGAGCAAGCACCTTCCAGCTGAGGAGGAGGGAGGCGCTGAATTCGGCGGCACCTGCTGGCAGAAAGCGATCAGGATGTACCTGATTCCTAGGCAGCCTGCATGCAGGCTCAGCCCCACGAGCATCTCAGGGAGTCACTTCATCCCTGTGAGCCTCAGTTTGCTCGTCTTTAAAATGGGGATGATAACATGTACTTTAGAAAACTGTATCCAACGAGAGCACCCAGGCAAAGCACCCAAGAGAATCTCAGTAACCGTCGAGAGTGGATGGCTTTGATGGGTGTGGGGGGGTGGGGGATATGGGGAACTGGGGAAAGGTGCTTCCTGCTGACTTAGTGGCTCGTGGGGGATCTGGTTGTCAGGATCCAGCGGTGGGATGGAAGCAGGGCGCACTGCTCTCTGGTACCTCCAGCCTAATGCTCTGAAGAGGAGGCCGTAACTGCTGTCCCATCTCGCAGATGAGAAAGCTGAGCTTCAGGAAGGGGAAGTGATGGCGAGCAGAGCAGAACCAGCGTCTGAACGGGCCCCGCGTGTCCCTTGGTTACGGGATTCCCACTCACCCATGCTCGCTCGCGCTTCTCCAACCTCGCTCAGCCGCCGGCTGGCCTGGACCAGCACCTGCGCCTCCTGCCCCACCTGGCAGGTGACTCTGTCATCCCGCAGCTCGGAGGTGCTGACCAGGATGTGGCAGTCTTTGCTGAAGGTGCCGTCCGGGTTGGGGGTGGAGCCCGGAGCCTCGGAGGTCTGTACGCATACGCTCCTCGGCAGCCAGGCGACGCGCAGGTCTTCGGGGTAAAACCCTTGCACATGGCAGGTGAGGACGGAGGCCTGCAGTTCTGGGATGCGGTGTGCTGAGATGGTCACCGTGGGCACCACTGGAACGACAACCCTGCCTGTGTCACCTTCCTCCTGCACGACCCCTTTGGGGACACCCATGCCCTTAGAGGCATCCTCTGGCTTTCGGAATAGGGCAGGGAACAAAGCCAGGGCTGCCCCTGCCTTGCAAAGCTCCCACTCTGCTGGGGGCACAAGGAGGAGACAGCGGTCACCACCCCACCAACCCCCCGACCAGGGGCCCCAAGAGCCTCGGACAAGACCACCGCCTGTCTCTGGAGGAGCACGGGGTTTCCGGAGGAAGCAACTTCGAGCAGAAGTTCGAAGCTGAACCGGAGTTAACTACACGGGGTAGATTGTACTCTCCAAAAACGGGGGCGCCAAGCCCACCAGATGCTCCAGAACATCTCCCCTCCCCATCAGAGGGGCCCTCTTTCTGCTGCCTTGGACAGTGGGATGTAGCAGGGAAGGGCCCTGGGTGACAGCTGAGGCTGGGTCGTGGAGGTGGGTGTGGCTTCCGCCTGGCTCTGTCTCCCGGGAACACAGCCACCGAGCTGACAGCCGGCACGAGGGCCAGGCATGGGAGTCCCGGGGGATCCCAGTCTCTGGACTGGTCCAGCTCAGGCCGAGCTGTCAGGGGGCAGAGCCAAGCCATCCCTGCTCAGCCCTGTCACAGTTCCCAGCCTGCCGAATCCACGAGCACGCTCGTCGTGGGCTCTGGAATGCACGTGGAGCAGGGGAGGAGACGTGGGGCTGATTGGTTCCATGGCCTCAAAGCCGGAACAACACGCGAAAGGGCTTGGGGGGCGGGCAGGGTGTTGGGGCGCTGGGAGCGGGTGGGGGCAGGGAGGGCATGGCGGAGGCCCTGAGCTGAGCTCAGCACAGTCCAGGGACTTTGGCTGCATGCAGTCAGAGCTAGGAGGGGGGTACATGTAGCTTGCATTGCTCCTTCCCCCGATGCCAGGGTGGGTTCTGGAAGCATGGCCCAAGGGCAGTGACTGGCAGCAAAGCGATGGTGGCATGGTGGTTAGGACAATGGTGTTGGGATTCCAGATGGAGACCTTGAGTGGGAGAAACCTCCTGGCTGCAGCCTAGAAATTCTGTGTGATCTGGTCCCCATCCCCCTGGCTCCAGCCTCTTCCTCTCCCAAGCACCCGACTTCTCCCCATGCTGGCCTCCTCACTTCTCGCTCTCTACCCCCACCCCACCCCACACCACAGGGCCTTTGCACACACCCTGTTTCCTCTATCTTGAACACACTTCTTTTTGCTTGGCTTCATGCCTTAGCTCAAACTTCACTTCTACAAAAAGGCGTTTCCCAAGTGAGCTGGATTTCCCATTTCCCTCGGTTTCAACAATCTGTTCTTTCCCCTCTTGGCAAACGCTATCACTGTAGAATTGCTTATGTCGTGGCTGACGGGGGTCACGTGACTGCAAACTCAGCGAGGCAGAGCCAGGCCTGCTGTGCTTCCTGTGGGTTCCCCGAGCACCGGGGCAGTCACTCAACAAGCACCCACAGAAAGTAGGAATGGACTTCCGCCTCCCAGAGATGCTTCCAGAGGGAATGGAGGTTCTGGAGGAAAGGCCCCGAGCAGGGAGTTGTGTGGGCGGAGGATGGCGGTGTGGAACAGGGACCCTGGCACCCACCTCCCTGGGGGTTGTGGGGAGTGAGTGGGAGGATGCAGGTGATGCGCCCTGGGGTGGGGGGTGGCTGTGGGGGGGGGTGGGGGTTTACCTTGCAGGAACTGGGAGATGTTCACATGCTCCCGGAGCGGGCTCTGCAGCTCACTGTGGGCCCCTGGCAGGTGATCTGGGAGTGGAGGGAGGAGAGGGACAGGGACACCAGCACGGTGCTGGTGACGCTGTAGGAAGAGGCACCTGGCGGTGACAGGACTTGAGTCTCCAAGGCCGGGAGCTCCGTGCCGTTTTCAACACCATCTCAATGCTTATGTTTACGGGGAAGAAGCCGGCCCGACGTGCAGGTTGCATGTTCCACTCTTTGGCCTGGGCTAGCCCTGGTGCCGGGGCCGGAAACCTGCGGAGGAGAGGGCTTAGCTTTTGGTCAGGGCAAAGGCAGAGAGGAGAGAGAGAGGAGGAAACGAAGACAGTGAGTGACTCTCCGTGCGGGCCTCGCCCTGCTGGACCTCCCGCCCAGTCCACTGAGGGGCCTCCCCGACCTGGCCTCTCACTCAGAGGCCAGACCCCCGGGGTCCCACGAAGATGCAGATCTGACCTTCCTGTCCCCTCCCTCCCCAAAGCACACTGTCACAGGGTCCTGCAATGCCTGTCACAAACAGCGCCTCTCAGCAGATCCCTAATTTTGTCTCCTTGCAAGCAGTTCAGATAAATTGTTTTGAATTATTTTGTCTGATTCTTTGGGCATGGCTCTCTGTGTTTCCAAATAACCTAGACTGCTATTTCTCAAATGTTTAGCTTTACGTATTAGGGGTAGACCTACTACTATGGACGATAATGATTTAGCTCGTATGTGTCCCTCCCTGCCAGCTACGCCTGCTCTGATCATAGAGACATAATTTTTTATTTTATGAGTATTCAATATTTATATTATTAAAACCATATGAGTATTGTTCACAATTGGGCCATGAAATACTCTAGGTATAGTCTTTTGTTTTCCCAGGGTTCTTAATCGCCTCCTATTTTCATTTGCTTAGTTTCCTATGATCAAACTCATCCCCAAACTTTCTGTCTGCTAATTGTTGTAGTGACTTCAGTTTGGGGTACATGAATAGCTGGGGGAACACAAATTTTTCAGGGGGTGTACAGGCTTGGATAAAAACTTTTTATTATAATTTTAAATAAACACAAAAATGAGTGAAAACACTCATCATGGGACTTTAACAACTAGCAACAAAGGGCTGATCTTGTTCATCATACTTCTACCATCCATTATATATTTGTGTATATTTAATCTATACAACCTAAGGTTTTGATACCAACATATTATGGAAATTATTTTTATGATCAATGAATTAATACACCCATTATTTCACAGTTAAGCCTTTTTAGCTTAAAGTACCACATCTATTTTCTGAGCAAATTTCTAGTTATGATACCACAGTATTAACTTGCATAGTCCTCATGCTGTCCGTCATTAGCACTCTAATTCTGGGGCTGGCCCTGGGGGCAGTGGGTTAAGCTGCATCCCGCACCAGCATCCCCTGTGGGAATGCCAACATGAGTCCTGGCTGCTCTGCTTCCAGTCCAGCTCTCTGTTAATGCACCTGAGAGGGAAGAAGAAGTGGCCCAAGTCCTTGGGTCCCTGCCACCTATGTGGGACACTGGGACAGAGTTTTGGGTTCCTGGCTTCAGCCTGGCCCAGCTCTGATCTATACAGCCATTAGGGGAGCAAACCAGCGAATGAAAGCTCTCTCTCTCTCTCTCTCTTATTCTCTCTCTGTCACTCTGCCTTTCAAATACAATGAATCTAGATCTCTACACTTAATTCTCCATAACCGCACTTTGGCCTGCTTGCCTCCATCTCCCGTTCCCCATTCAATTCTGTTTCTGTGTATTTGGGATGTTTTCCTTGGCCTTTAGAGTCCATATAGATAGAGAAATTAAAAACAGAGGAGCCACACGATCCAGCAACTCCTCTTCTGGAGATGAAGTCACCACCTTGTTGAGATCTTTGCCCGGGGCTCTTGCAGTCCCATTCACTAGTGAGTGTCTGTCAGCAGGTGCGCAGTAAAGGCATCAGGGCGCAAGCACACAGCCTTGAAAAGAAGATCCTGCCATTTGACAACAGATAAGGCAGTGGGCATTGTGCTCAGTGAAATAAGTCACACACGGGGCTACTTCAGGCAAATAGCAGACATTCCTTCTTTTCTTTCCTAACTGCTTCAGCACATATGTCCAAGAGTATTCTTTTAAAAATCAAATACCATTATTTACTTAACATTTCATAATAATTATTTGTTAGCTTTTAAATTTCCTGCTCGTCTCATCAGTATACTTTTAGCTGGTTTGAATTAGGATCCAAGCAGCATGATGTATTACATCTGCTGTTGCTTCCCAAACCTTTTACTCTCTTTTCATAAAGAATTCTTCTTCTCTCTTTTTCCTGGTCTTTCTTTGTTGGAGAAACCGATCTTGAGTGTGCAGACTTTCCCATGTTCTGTACTGATCCCCAGGGTTTTCCACTGGAATTGAGCTCAGTTTCCTGCAGGACCATGACACACTCACGCACCCTTCACTGAGCGTCTGATTCTGCCACCGCTACTGGAGTTCTTTGCATCCAATCCTTGTCCATGAGCCGCTTCTCAGTGAACCCAAGCTAAAACTCCATGCTTTAAAGTCCCTTGAACTACTTCATCTCCATGTGGTTACTACTTCATCTCCATGTGGTCAAGGCAAATGAGATTAACTAATTTCATTTTAGACTTAGTAATTTAGATTTTGAAATTTTTCTCATTTTGGATTTTGTTATTATTATTGAAAATATGTTTTACAGAATCAGAACTTAAGTAAGGCATATTCAGAGAAGTTGAGCATTCACCTCTGTCTCTTCCACCCTCTTTCTTCCCTTCATTATAACTAAGCATTTTTTTTTTTTAATTTATCTATGGGCTGGTGCTGTGGCATAATGGGTACAGCCACTGCGCAGTACCCGCATCCCACATGGTCACTGGTTTCTAATCCCAGCTGCTGCACTTTGATCCAGCTCTCTCGCCATGGCCTGGGAAAGCAGCAGAAGATGGCCCAAGTCCTTTGGTCCCGCACCCACCTGAGAGACCTGGAAGAAGCTCCGGCTCCTGGCTTCGGATCAGCCCAGCTCTCACTGTTCGCCATGTGGGAAGTGAACCAGTAAATGGAAGACTTCTCTCTCTCTCTGCGCCTCTGCATCTCGTACACTCTGCCTTTCAATCACTTTTTAAAAAGATTTATGTGTATATTTAAAGGCAGAATTACAGAGAGCGATTTTCTATCTGCTGGTTCACTCCCTAAGTGGCTGCAAGGGCCAGAAGTGGCTGATCAGAAGCCAGGAGCCGTATCTCTATCTGGGTTCCCACCTGGTGTGAGGGCCCAAGCATTCTCCTCTGCTTTCCCAGGTGCATTAGCAGGGAGCGGGGACCAGAAGTGGAGCACCAGAC